CCCGGAGACTATTCGGCTGATCCGAAAATGTCGAGTAACCCGCGTTTAAAAATTTATAGAGTCGATCGACTACTCGAGCCGAACTCGACTCGACATCGGGTTATTCGAAATTATGTATATATCGATGTTATCTACAGTCGAATTGAGAATCATTACATTCTATCTGAGAGCGTTCTGTAAAGTACAATTACTCGAGACGATTTTATCGCCGGTTCCTGTAACTAGTATACTCTTAAGGTATATCAATAATGAAAGGAATGAATAATTTATTGATAACACATGCTTTGTCATTCACTAGGTTTCATAAAACTTAGATCCCCTCATTCCATGAGTGAGATGAACATTTCTCGTCTACACGCTTGACACGAAGTACAATTGCTCAAGAGAGACCGGTTGACGATCACATCAACCAGTAAACTCTAAATGTATGAATTTTCCGTGAAACCTTTCCTTGACAATGCATTACTCCGTTTCATGAATTTAGATAGCACACAATCAATTAAGAATTCATCGAGTGGGAGAGAATTGCAGCCCATCGATTTTTCCTCTACAAAATCTAACGCTTATCCCAAAAAACCATTGCAATACATTCAAGTACTACTGAAGGTAATGTTGTTTATCAAATTATGTATGGAAGAATATTATTTATACAGTATATGACGATGAATTTTTGTGTATATATCGATGTTATATACAGTCGAATTGAGAATCATTCCATTCTATCTGAGAGCCTTCTGTGAAGTATACTTGCCCGAGACGATTCTATCGCCGGTTACCACAACTAGTGTATTCTCAAGGTATATCAATAATCCATAGAATCCATAATTTCTTGATAACACATGCTTTATCATTCACTAGGTTTAACAAACTTAGATCCCCTCATTCCATGAGTGAAATGAACATTTCTCGTTTATACGCTTGACACGAAGTACAATCGCTCAAGACAGTCTGGTTGACGATCACATCAACCAGTAAGCTCTAATGGCATATCAATTTTTCATAAAACCTTCCTCTGACAATGAATTACTCCGTTTCATGAATTTAGATAGCATACAATCAATTAACAATTCATCGAATGGAGAAGAATTGCAGCCCATCGATTTTTTCTCGACAAAATCCAACGCTTATCCCCAAAAACCCTTCGAATATATACAAGTACCGCTGAAGGTAATGTTACTTATCTAATTCTATAAGAAAAAACTTTATTTATGAAGTACATGACGATGAATTTTTATGTACATATTGATGTTATATTCAGTCGAATTGAGAATCATTCCATTCTCTCGGAGAGGCTTCTGTGAACTACAATTTGCCGATACGATTCAATCGCCGGTTCCCACAACTAGTGTTCTCTGAAGGTATCTCAATAATCCATAGAACCCATGATTTCGTGATAACACATGCTCTATCATTGACTCGGTTTGATAAACTTAGATACCATACGATCAATTTCTTGATTGGAGCAGAATAATACTCCTTCGATTGGGCCGTCATAGAAGTTATCGCTGATCTCAGGAGACGTCCAGAATATACCTCATTAGCTTTTGAGGTAAATTTGATTTATTAAATTGTGTAAAAAGCAATATGTGTACGTCCACGTTGAAAGGGAAAACTCTGTGGCATGTAGTTTCAGTTTATTCGCGTTATTCGCTTTACAACCATAGTTAAACACATGTTAAATACATTTCATGATACAAGTGGAAGAAAGGCACTTTTTTGCACGCTTTGCACGCAAAACATGCCCTTCTTTCACCAGCATCATAAAATTTTGTGCGACAGACGTGAAAAAAATACTTCTTGATGAGTGTGATGACAGCCTTCGCCTCCGGCTCGTCCTGTAACACTCACACTCATTGATAACTTCTTTTATTTACTTGTATCGTATACTATTGGTCCACGAAAGAGGGCACAGCTGAATATGATGAATGGAAAACCGAGCATGAAAAATCGTGTTCAGCGAATCACGAAGGATCCTCTGGAAAGATGGAAGTGGGTGAAATGACAGAGATGTTCAAACGATCGGTGGAACGTTCGAAAGTAATTTACGCCAATTACATTGGAGATGGTGACTCGAAAACTTACAAGGGAGTGAATGGTGCTAAACCGTATGGATATACAGTGCAAATAATAAAAAAGGAGTGTATTGGATATGTAGAGAAATGAATGGGGAAGCGTCTCCGCAATTTGGTTGAAGAATGCAAGCACCTCAAAGGACGTAATAAGTTGACCGGGAAAATGATAGATAAATTATCACGTTATTATGGTTTGGCAATTCGATGAAACACAGACTCTGCAAAGAATATGAAAACCGCTATTTGGGCTACGTTTTATCATTACACATCAACTGATGAAAATCCGCTATATGAAAATTGCCCAAAAGGTCCCGACTCATGGTGCACTCGGCAAGTAGCAAATGCGAAGAACAATTTGGATATCTATTCACATGACTATATGTCTCTTCCCATCGATGTTTTGGGAGCAATTAAATCGATATACGTAGATCTGAGCGACGATATTCTATTGGAACGTTGTGTAGGAGGATATACGCAGAATAATAATGAAAGTCTCCACAATTTGATATGAAAGATTTCTCCTAAAGAGATAAACGGTGGAAAAGCTTCAGTCGAAATTGCCGCGTATATTGCAACTTGTGTATTTAATGAAGGCACTGGATCTTTATTAAGAATAATGCAGGAAATGGATTTTTGGCTGGAATAAATGCGTATAATTGGGCTTCGATGAAGAATGACAGGCGGCGTAGGTCGGCTGAACGCGCAGCAGAAAATGCATCAAAAGAAACACGCACTCAAAGGAAAAACCCAAGGCAAAAAGACGATTTTTACGGCCCGGGAATAGATGAAGATCTATTCCCGGGCCGTACACCGTTCTATCTGTGAGTATTGTGATGTACCTTTTTCACCTGTAATAATATTTAAATCTTTCAAAAGGGCCCGACCGGTAATCCTCAAGGCTAATGCTCTTTCGCCTCTGCGTGACGCACAGTGGCAAAACTTTGCACGTCGTTTCTCTAAAACTGAATTTTCCAAAATGGTACCAATGATTTCTCGGATATCATTCAACCGATTTTGCTGAAATTTTGCACTGGGCAATTTTGTATCATTCTCTTGTATGTAGCGCATTTTTTTTCACTGTGTTGTTTTTTTTTTCAAATAATGGCGAAAAAGGGTTGAAATTATAGTCTTCAAACGCTCGGGAAAATTTAAAAACTCATATCTCTCATGAAAATTGTTGATATTTTTTACGCATGCGTCACAAGTTCAATCAATATTGTAGCCTTTATAAGTTATGAATGATAATTTTGTTCCAGGAAAAATTAATGAACAAATTATGATGGCACGGCAGACGCTATTGGCAAATGACTGATTCTATTCAAGACACTCCAACGTGCAAATGGCTTGGAATATTTCGATTTTTTTTGTCAATATTCTATAAGATATGCTGTTCCCAAAACAATCAATATTTTCAATGTTAATAAATAAATTACATTTAAAAAAAATTATGAAAATAACCCTTTCTGGGTGCCCTCTAGCTGTATGTTGCCCCTTAAGCAAGATTGCGAGATTGGATTGAATATTTTTGTATTCAATGAATTTACCAAACAAAAAATTTTTTTATATGATTACCCTGAACGGTGGATAATTTGGCTCGTGGGTCGATGAACAACGCAGCTAATTGTGCGTCAACTCGTGAACTGCAGGACACATGAACATCGATATTTCGAACGTACATTGCGGTCCACGGATCCAATTCCCGGACCACGCCTGGCTAAGAGTCGTTTACTGTATAAAAAACTGCTTACAATTGGTTCTTGTTGTTTTGATAATATTCCACTTACAACATATATACAATTTGGACTAGCGTATATATACTTATACATAAAGTTGAATGTTCGTAGATAAGATTTGAAGAAATTCAAATTTTTGAAACGTCATTTTTAATTACATTGAAAAATGAAAAATGTCGATTTATCATTTTTGTTTTTCATAAAAGTTTGTTTATTTACTGCCCATTGTCGGTTGTTTTAACAGCTTTTACAAAATTTGATGAGAGCGCACAATTTATTTTGTGGCCGATCGTCGTCGAGTCCCTGAGCTATAATATATTTTATTTTAAATAAAGAGGACAGACGATTGTGATTGTCTCATTATAATTCTCATCAATATTTTTGTATGTTTTAACACGGATGTCTCTCAGGCATATATAATATTATTATAAACAATAACTTTTAACAATTTTTTGTTCCATTGGACGAGCTCAGAGTAGGTGAGACTACCANGTCCCTGAGCTATAATATATTTTAGTTTAAATAAAGAGGACAGATGATGATTGTGATTGTCACATTATAATTCTCATCAATATTTTTGTATGTTTTAACACGGATGTGTCTCTCAGGCAAATATAATATTATTATAAACAATAACTTTTAACAATTTTTTTTGTTCCATTTGACGACCTCAGAGTAGGTGAGACTACCCGCTGAATTTAAGCATATTACTAAGCGGAGGAAAAGAAACTAACTAGGATTTCCTTAGTAGCGGCGAGCGAACAGGAAGAAGCCCAGCACTGAATCCCACGATTATGTGATTGGGAAATGTAGTGTTTGGGAGGATCCATTTATCCCGTGGTGTTATATTGTGTCCAAGTCCATCTTGAATGGGGCCATTTACCCATAGAGGGTACCAGGCCCGTAGTGACCGAGATACATTTCGGGAGGATTTCTCCTTAGAGTCGGGTTGCTTGAGAGTGCAGGTCTAAGTGGGTGGTAATCTCCATCTAAGGCTAAATATGACCACGAGACCGATAGCGAACAAGTATCGTGAGGGAAAGTAGAAAAGAACTTTGAAGAGAGAGTTCAACAGTACGTGAAACCGTTCAGGGGTAAACCTGAGAAACCTAAAAGATCGAATGGGGAGATTAATCGTCAGCTCATTTTGTATATATATGAGTTATGATATGGGTATTTTCAGGACCANATTAAGCCGCATTTTATGCGTTCATATCCGTCGCAAGCGCGGTCAATTTTTAGTAGTATGGACCTAGTGCCGTCGCTATAATTGATCAGCTGTTGGTTGTACGGTATTCTAGAACTGGCTTAACATATTAATATCGGTCTGCGATGCTACTGCTTTGGGTACTTTCAGGACCCGTCTTGAAACACGGACCAAGGAGTCTAACATGTACGCGAGTCATTGGGATTTTTTTATAAATTAAACCTAAAGGCGTAATGAAAGTAAAGGTCGTTCTTGTAACGATTGAGGGAGGATGAGTTGTGTTAAGATACAGCTTCGCACTCCCGGGGCGTCTCATTCTTATTATAAGAAGAGGCGCACCTAGAGCGTACACANGCGTAATGAAAGTAAAGGTCGTTCTTGTAACGATTGAGGGAGGATGAGTTGTGTTAAAATACAGCTTCGCACTCCCGGGGCGTCTCATTCTTATTACAAGAAGAGGCGCACCTAGAGCGTACACGTTGGGACCCGAAAGATGGTGAACTATGCCTGGTCAGGACGAAGTCAGGGGAAACCCTGATGGAGGTCCGTAGCGATTCTGACGTGCAAATCGATCGTCGGAACTGGGTATAGGGGCGAAAGACTAATCGAACCATCTAGTAGCTGGTTCCCTCCGAAGTTTCCCTCAGGATAGCTGGCACTCTTTTTTGAACGAGTTTCATCCGGTAAAGCGAATGATTAGAGGCCTCGGGGCCGAAACGACCTCAATCTATTCTCAACCTTTAAATGGGTGAGATCTCTGGCTTGCTTGAATTTATGAAGCCATGAGATTTTCAATTGAATCAGAGTGCCAAGTGGGCCAATTTTGGTAAGCAGAACTGACGCTGTAAGATGAAACAAACGCTGAGTTAAGGCGCCCAAGTCGACGCTTATGGGATACCATGAAAGGCGTTGGTTGCTTAAGACAGCAGGACGGTGGCCATGGAAGTCGGAATCCGCTAAGGAGTGTGTAACAACTTACCTGCCGAAGCAACTAGCCCTGAAAATGGATGGCGCTGAAGATCCNGAATCAGAGTGCCAAGTGGGCCAATTTTGGTAAGCAGAACTGGCGCTGTGGGATGAACCAAACGCTGAGTTAAGGCGCCCAAGTCGACGCTTATGGGATACCATGAAAGGCGTTGGTTGCTTAAGACAGCAGGACGGTGGCCATGGAAGTCGGAATCCGCTAAGGAGTGTGTAACAACTCACCTGCCGAAGCAACTAGCCCTGAAAATGGATGGCGCTGAAGCGTCGCGCCTATACTCTGCCGTCAGTGGCAAAAGAAATGTATAATTTATTATACATTATGAAGCTCTGACGAGTAGGAGGGTCGCGGCGGTGTGCGCAGAAGGGTCTGGGCGTGAGCCTGCCTGGAGCCGCCGTCGGTGCAGATCTTGGTGGTAGTAGCAAATACTCCAGCGAGGCCCTGGAGGACTGACGTGGAGAAGAATTTCGTGTGAACAGCCGTTGCACACGAGTCAGTCGATCCTAAGCCCTAGGAGAAATCCTCTCTTGATGATAGTGTTTCTTTGATATATAAAAACAATATACAGGGTGCTTCAGAAGTACATGTATATCTGAACACCCCAGGATCAGGGGGTGATTCTGAGCAGAAAAGTCCTCTTGCACTTTTTGATTAGACTCACCCCTAAAAAGTTATTGGCAATTAAGGGTGGGCCAACGGGGAGTGATTTTTAAGCGGGCGCA